ATATATATATATATATATCAATTAATTAATTCAATTGTTTTTGTTAACTAAATGTAAATACTTATTTAGTAATTTATGGAGTAATAAAGTAAATAATAAAACAATTTTTGAGATAAATAAATTGTTAAAAACTTAAAAAATGAAGAAAATGATTAAGCATTGTTCATTTGGTGCAACTTTAGTTGTTTTTATTATTGGAGATGATTTTTAGTTTGATGCAATCATTGGAGATGGCCTAAGATCTTAGTATTATGAGGATTCCTAAATTAGCATCATTATTTGTTTTTAACTTTTCAAAAAATCAGTTTCCTTGTTAAACCATACCTTAACAAAGTGTCATTGCTGCAAATGTCAAATTGTTTGATAGTTAAATTAATTGATTCTTTCATGTCTTTCTGCATTTTTTACAGATGCAAAGAGGTTGATAGGTAGGAGATACACTGATGCCTCTGTGCAGAGTGACATTAAGTTGTGGCCCTTCAAAGTTATTTCTGGAGCTGGTGATAAACCAATGATTGTAGTCAACTACAAGGGTGAAGAAAAGCAATTTGCAGCTGAGGAAATCTCTTCCATGGTTTTAATTAAGATGAAGGAAATTGCCGAGGCTTTCCTTGGTTCAACTGTTAAAAATGCTGTGGTCACTGTCCCAGCATACTTTAATGATTCACAGCGGCAAGCAACTAAGGATGCAGGTGTAATTTCTGGTCTGAATGTGATGCGTATCATTAATGAACCAACAGCTGCTGCCATTGCTTATGGTCTCGACAAGAAGGCAACGAGTGTTGGTGAGAAGAATGTTCTGATATTTGATCTTGGAGGTGGTACTTTTGATGTATCTCTTCTAACCATCGAGGAGGGTATCTTTGAGGTGAAGGCAACTGCTGGTGACACTCACCTTGGAGGTGAAGACTTTGACAACAGAATGGTGAATCATTTTGTTCAAGAATTCAAGAGAAAGAACAAGAAAGACATCACTGGTAACCCCAGGGCTCTTAGGAGATTGAGGACAGCTTGTGAGAGAGCAAAGAGAACTCTTTCATCCACCGCCCAAACCACCATTGAGATAGACTCTTTATATGAGGGTATTGATTTTTACTCCACCATCACTCGTGCAAGATTTGAGGAGCTAAATATGGACTTGTTCAGAAAGTGCATGGAACCAGTAGAGAAGTGTCTACGTGATGCTAAGATGGACAAAAGTACTGTCCATGATGTTGTCCTTGTTGGTGGTTCCACTAGGATTCCCAAGGTCCAGCAATTGTTGCAGGACTTCTTCAATGGGAAGGAACTTTGCAAGAGCATCAATCCTGATGAAGCTGTTGCTTACGGTGCTGCTGTCCAGGCTGCCATTTTGAGTGGTGAGGGTAATGAGAAGGTGCAGGATCTTTTGCTTTTGGATGTCACTCCCCTCTCTCTTGGTCTGGAAACTGCTGGTGGTGTCATGACTGTCTTGATTCCCCGCAATACAACCATCCCAACAAAGAAGGAACAGGTGTTCTCTACCTACTCAGACAACCAGCCTGGTGTCTTGATTCAGGTCTATGAAGGAGAAAGAACAAGGACCAGGGACAACAACCTTCTTGGTAAATTTGAGCTCTCTGGCATTCCTCCTGCTCCTAGGGGTGTTCCACAGATTACTGTGTGCTTTGACATTGATGCCAATGGTATCTTAAACGTGTCTGCTGAGGACAAGACCACTGGCCAAAAGAACAAGATCACCATCACCAATGACAAGGGTAGACTTTCAAAGGAGGAAATTGAGAAGATGGTTCAGGAAGCAGAAAAATACAAATCTGAGGATGAAGAACACAAGAAGAAGGTCGAGGCTAAGAATGCCTTGGAGAACTATGCATACAACATGAGGAACACCGTGAAGGACGAGAAGATTGCCTCCAAGCTCCCAGCTGACGACAAGAAGAAGATTGAGGATGCAATTGAGCAGGCCATCCAATGGCTAGAAGGCAACCAGCTTGGGGAGGCTGATGAGTTCGAGGACAAGATGAAGGAGTTGGAAGGCATCTGCAATCCTATCATTGCAAAGATGTACCAGGGTGCTGGTGGTGATATGGGTGGAGCTGCCATGGATGATGATGGCCCTGCTCCTAGTGGTACCTCCGGACCTGGTCCCAAGATTGAGGAGGTCGATTAAGTTCATGGTGTTCCCTGCTGCTGTTCTTAGTAATGACTGAATATTTTGGTTTTATTTTCGTCGTATCTCATTATGCTTTTCCTTAGTATTTTGGAAGCATTGGCAATTAGCCATTATTCAATGCCTGCTTATGATATACTGCCATTTTCATGCAGGAATTATTATTATTTATATTCACAATTGGTAAAGCCTTGCTTTTAATCTTGAAATTTGCACGCTGCTTACAGTTTTATGATGTGGTTGGAGTTTTAGCCTTATAATTCTTCAACTTAATTCTATTGGTGGTGGACCTCCTCTGTTCCTTTTTGGCTTGATGCAAAATTTTATGACCAAAATGCCCTTGAGAGTAGGTCAAATGCTGTATGTATCTTATACACCATATACCTTCAGAGATCTCTAGTTGATTTCTGTACAAATGCCTTCATAACAAGATTTCAGTTGATTAAAGATTGAAACACATAGCTCAATCAGATGGAAACACATAGCTCATGTTTAGTATACCAATCAACCAATGTAGCATGGGATTGGGAACTTTCGATGCTTCGAGTGCCCTAACCATCCCCAATTCGTTGATTTCCAAGAATTCTAAGTACTCTGTTCTCTTGGATTTGTACATCGATGTTGAGGTCCCCTGATCTTCTCCCAGGTCCAAACATCATTTTGTTCCTCAAACCAATATTTACTTATTCTTAATAATTATATTTTACGTAATCTTTAAGAAGTTGACTTATCCTAACATGTATGAAAATAAGTTGTTGTAGAGTAATTTTTTACTTATTTTTTAGCTCAAAATTGGGCAGAAATTACAAGTTACTTGAGAATGAGCTTTTCCCAAGTAAGATAACCAGCTACTTCTAGATTGGACTTTGAATATTTCTGTTGTTACCGTTAAAAAGACTATCTTAAACCCGAGAGGAAGCAATGTGTGATATAGAAGCGAGGATGCTGACACGGGTGGTGATGTTCCCTCGCCAACCCACTCGTTAAACTCTGTGTCATTGTATGGTAATTCTCTGAAATCGAATTATTTGACCAGTACAAAATGTGGGAAAATAATACAAGAATACTTGCCGAGGAATGCTCGAAGTAACTCTGTTTGCACAAAAAACCTAACATGACATGTAAAAATATTATTTGTCGAAGGACACAAAACTAGTAAATTATATCATGCGAACAAATTAAGAAGTACTTTATAAGGTGGTGCTTACCCAAATTGCACATCAGAGCGAATATAATATGGTATGTTAGATTGTAGTTTGTCAATATCAAAAATTCAAATATCCTTCACGTCACAACAATTGTAAGTCTCCTACAACTTCTACCACAACTTTACACTCTTTACGGTACTGCTTGCCTAGCGTGTAATGACCAACATATTATTCACAATCCTCGGGCACTAGTTTCCAATTGCATTTCCACCGCAAAACGCCAGATGTAGCAGTCGACTAAATATAATAAAATGCACACTACAAGTGATGTGAACCCGGATAGTTAGATCACTATTAAACCCACAAAGAATGACACAAATCCCAAGAAAGCCAAAAAAATCAAAGTTTATGGAATTTGACCCAAAAATTAGTGAACCAAACAACCAATACATTCACATGGATATATTGACCTTTTGATTACACAATTAAAGAAATCAAACCTGAAATTTAAAGATTGACTCCAAGGATTAAATGAACCAGAAACCAAAGCAATTATTAGAATACCTTCATCTCGTGATTTCACAACACGAATCGCACTTTGATTGGTGAAGGCCAAAAGAAATTATCTCGATAAGTTCGATAATTGTTCACGAAGAACAAGAAAGGAAGCAACCTTGCCTCTAATTAATTCAAAATATCAAAAGTTCTACAATGAATGAAAATATACCCTATTTATATCAAGTCCTCAAAACCCTAATTTTAAATGGAAATTTCGTGCAAAATCTTAAAGAAAATACTAAAAGATTAGAAGTCTAAATAAAATAGGAAACTTGCGAAAACTGGATCAGCGGCCCCCCAACTTAGCTCAAATTTTGGTCTCGACCCTTCATCCATAATTAGTAAATTCTCGATCACTTTGGGCTTCTTCCAAATCACATCAGACCCTCCCTCTTCGAGAGGATTCTTCCTCAAATCCGCACCTGGTTCAGAGACTGTTCTTCTTCCATCTACTTGTCCAATATCTAACAATTGATTGAACCCTCTGCACTCCGCATTGCCATGATTGAACGTTTCCTCTTCGAAGTCCCACCAATGCTCTAATTGTTGCACATCAACAGGATATTCAGAGGGTGGTTTCTTCTTCATGAAGTCCTCATGTAGCAAATATTCATAGTCCTGCAACAAAGACTTATGCAAACTGGGGAGGGATATGTCAGCCTTCACCCACTCACTTCCACCACCAAGCCCACTCTTCTTGGAATATAAGCTCCCCTTTTGTTTTTCTTTCATTTTGCCCCCATCGCCTTTCAATTTCACCTGATCATCATAAATTTGTTGTGATGTCAAAGGTACAAGTGTAATGGTTTTCCCACCCATGTCAAAACTGTACCTATTTCTAAACCCATCATGCTTTACCTTCCTATCGTATTGCCAAGGCCTACCCAACAATAGATGTCCCACATCCATAGGCACAACATCTCACAACACTTCATCCTTATATCTTCCAATTGACAAATTAACCAATACCCTCCTATTAACATTAACTTCTCCTTTATCATCTAAAAACTGCAAATTATAGGGTTTAGGGTGTTTTGTCATCTCCAGTCCTAATTTCTTAACAAGTGTATAACTAGCTATATTAGTGCAACTGCCTCCATCGATAATCAAGTTGCATACCTTATTATTGATGTGGCACCGTGTATGGAAGATATTCTCCCGTTGCTTCTCTCCATCAACCTTGATTTGTGCGTTGAATGCACGCATCAAAATAAGTGCTTTCCCTTCAACCGGATACTCTACTACGTCACCATCACTAACATCTTTCAACTTGGGCATGCCATCTTCATCACTGTCACTCACCACTTCCCCACTGTCCTTCAAGGTCATGGCTCGTTTGTTTGGATACTGAGAAGCAACGTGTTCTGTTCCCAAGCACTTGAAGCACTTGATGTCTCGACACCTAGAGTGCTGTGGTTCCGCCTTGGGTGCAGCCTTGCTAGCATTGTCATCATTTCCTCTAGGTAGTTCAATTTTATTGTTAACAACAACTCCATCAACCTTCTCTTCATCCCACCTAGACCTCCAAGATGAATTAGACCCCTATTGATTCTTTGCTCTCCATTTTCTCTTCAACTGCCTCTTAACTTTCATTGCTACATGTAGCATATCCTCTAATTCCACATAATGCTATAATTCAACAATTTTGGCGATGTCTCTATTCAATCCATTCAAAAATCTTGCCATGGTGGCTTCCTGATCCTCCTCCACATTAGCCTGAATCATCAAAATTTTCATCTTCTTTTGGTAATCCTCCACACTCCTCTGTCCCTGGTACAACCCCTGCAACTTTTGATGAAGCTCCCTATAATAGTGACCCAGTATAAATCTCTTCCTCATAACTGCCTTCAACTCATCCCACGTGCTTATCGGCCTTTCCCTATTCCTTCGTCGTAAAGTGACCACTTGATCCCACCAAGTGACGGTGTAATCAGTGAACTCCAAGACTGCAAGCTTCACTTTCTTCTCCTCTGAATAGTAATGGCAGTTAAAGATCAACTCCACCTTCTTCTCCCATTCCAAGTAAGCCTCCGGGTCATTCCTACCCTTGAATTGTGGAATCGTCATCTTTATGTTACCCCAATTGCCATCCACGTCAGCTTCATGGTTATTCACCCCTTCGTTCAAACCAAGCCCCTCTATGCCTCACTCTACCCATGTCAGCCTCATCATCAAATTCTCCTCTATATTCATTCTCATTCAGCACACTGCCAATATCATATGCTTCCCGTTCCATCCTAGGCTCTTGCCTACCCGGCCTCCTAGCTTGAGGTACATTCACCCGTTGACCTTGACTAAGAGTTGAAACCGTCGCGTCAAGCCTGTCCAGCCTATTTTCCAACCGATTTTTCATATTTATCATCATCTGCTACTGTATTAAGTTATCCTGCATGTTGGTTTGATTACCGTTTCGACTAGAATTAGATCCTTCCCCGTCGGACATTGATCACAATTTTCTGCCTCACCAAAAATTTTCACTCGGAAATTCACTCAATTTTAGACTTTTACCCTCAATCGAGCTCACCACTCAGTCTTTTATTACTCAAGCTTCCAATCAATGTCTCAAGAACAAATCCCGAACTCAATTCGATTAATTCTTGTGGAAGTCCAATTCAATTGTGCGAGATTCGATAATCAAAAAGTTAAAGGACTAGGGAATTAAATAGAATTTTTGGAGGGACTAATTTTTTTCTGCATGAACATTGTAATGGTGCGAATGAACAGTCCGTGAATAGTTTTTTTTTT